CTACTGTTCATTTTAATTATTTATATGTTTTTTTTTTTTTTGGTTTTTGAAGGCGAAAATGCAAACTTTTGGACTACGAACAGAAAATATAGAAATATATAGACGGTGAAATATAAAACGGAATCCTTACCTCTCCATCCGGGACGTCGATGGTGAGCTCAATGTCTCCCATACTACTATGCAGCGGGTCAAGAAACGAGCCGGGTTGTCGACGTTTAAGAAGGTGAAGATAACGAACCGAGATTACAAACAAAACACGTCGGTAAAGCAGCGGTCCGGAAAGCTGTATACTAGAGTGTTTCAGCGTTATATGGAAAAAAGTCAAGGTCAGAATCACCCTGCCAAAATTTGAGGTCATTTGGTTCACGGGAACCCCTCGCTCAAAAGGCTTGAAGTTTGTATGGGGAAAATCGACAAAATGTATGGGGGAGCGAGCCACTTTCACATTCGCGGCTCTAGGTGGCGCTGTAGTGGGTCGATTTTCTTCGTGTACAAAATGTAGCACTTTTGGAGTATTGGGAACATCTTGGTTGAAGACCGGATGTGAATCCGAGTTACCTCTGAAAAGTTATTAGCGTTTCAAACGAACACCACCTGCTTCACTTCTGAGGAGGGCCTAACGCGCTTGTGCAGTTTTTATTTTTACGAACAGGTATACGAATAGCAATGTTTGCATAGGTATAACATTTTTGTTTAACCATGAAATTGGTTGAAATTTTCACAGTGAGTAGAAAAATGTTCGAAATTATGGTCTACTAAAAATTGGAACAGATTGGCCAAGTGGTTCTGGTTTTATTCCGGGTTTCCGAGAAGCCATCGGGGGGAGAAAAGGTACCAGTCGTCTACAACAAGGTGGTGCTGGAAATCCACAGCAACAGGCATCTATGGGTAGTGCTGATTAATATTTTAACAAAATCAAACCATAACCTGGTTCTAACTGAGCGTCCACCGGAAGGCCTTTCGATAACCCGGATCAACCTTAATCTGGATTATTATATATTTTTTATCAAAGTAGGCCTTGATTATTCTCTGCAACTATATGAAATGTAGTAAATTAATGATTTTAGATATATAAGCGTTCCAATGGCTTCAAGTGGTCACCAGATGATCCGCCGGAAGATCCGAAACATCCGTAAAATTTAGTGCTACATAAATTCGATCAAAGTAGGCCTTGATTTTTCTCTGCAACAATGAGAAATGTTGTAAAATGGTGATTTTTTATGAGTTAGTTGTTCAATGACTCCGAGCTATCACCAGATGGTCCGCTGGTAGATACGGAACATCCGTAAAATTGATTGCTGTGTAAATTTGATCAAAGTAGGCCATGATTTTCCTCTCCAATTATATGGAGTATAGTAAAATGATGCTGGTCGTTGGATCCAAGTGGTCACCAGATGACCCACCGGAAGATCCGGAACATCCGTAAAATTTATTGCTGCGCAAATTTGATCAAAGTAGGCCTTGATTTTGCTCTGCAACAATGTGAAATGTAGTAGAATGCTGATTTTTGATATGTTAGCTGTTCAATGGCTCCGAGTTATCACCAGATGGTCCGCTGGTAGATACAGAACATCCGTAACATTGATTGCTGTGTAAATTTGATCAAAGTAGGCCTTGATTTTCCTCCGCAATTATATGGAATACAGTAAAATGGTGATTTCTGAAATATTTTAGCTGGTCATTGGCTCCAAATGGTCACCAGATGACCCACCAAAAGATCTGAAACATCCGTAAAATTGGTTGCTACGTAAATTTCATCAAAGTATGCCTTGATTTTTCATTGCAACTGTATATAATGAAGTAAAAGTATGATTCTTTATATATTAGCTGGTCACTGGCTCCAAGTGGCTCGCCGAAAGATCCGGAACATCCGTAAAATGTATTGCTGCGTAAATTTGATTAAAATAGGCCTTGATTTTGCTCTGCAACTACGTGAAATGTAGTGAAATGGTGATTTTTGTTATATTAGGTGTTCAATTGTTCCGAGTGGTCACGACATAACTCGCTGGAAGATCCAGAAAATCTGATAAATTTATTGCTGTCTAAATTTGATCAAAGTAGGCCTTGATTTTACTCTGCAACTATGTGGAGTGTAGTAAAATGGTGATTTTAGATACATTAGCTGTTCAATGGCTCTGAGTAGTCACCAGATGGTCCGTGAGAAGATCCGGAACATCCGTAAAATTGATTTATGTGTAAATTTTTTCAAAGCAGGCCTTGCTTTTTCTCTGCAACTATATGGAATGTGGTAAAATTGTGATTTTTTATGTATTAGCTGCTCATTGTAACATCAGTAAAATTAATTGCTTCGTATGAGGACAGCTCCGGCGTAGTCGTTAGCAAGTGTGTTGGTGTGTAAGTCACACAAACATCGCATGTATTTAAATCGATTGGCAAACAGGTTGACACACATTTTCATCATCAAATAAAATATTTCAGGATATTAAAAAAAAAAAGTCAGTATCTCTGAGCCACACATCCAACGAAGCCTTAAGTTATCCCCTTTCATTTCAGGGTAGTGTTCAAATGTAATTTCGGGGGAACATTTTGACACTACCCTTAAACTAACTGGGATAGTCTAAGATTTTGTTTGGTAAGTGTTTCAGTGATACCGTAAGTGGAGGTGACCTTGGGCCAAAAAATCAAAAAACTTCGTTCCCTACCTAACAACGTTCACATTTTAGCAAGGAAAACAATGTTAAGCATGTGAATATATTCATCAATGATATATTTACGACTGTCATGGAAATGGTTGATTGAAATTGAAAGCTCATTTTACTAAAATTAATTAAAAAATAGACCAATGTAAAACCTTATGGGCCAACACATAAATTTAATTAAAATATCTTAGGTTCATGTGATTTTGTGGTGCGATTTCCAATTATGAGTTTACATGAAAGCTATGTGAAATTCATATTATCGATTGGTTATGTGATTTATTTTATGAAAATATTTCTACGTTTTATTACAAGTGAATACCTTACGAAATCATGAAGAATACAGAATATGTTAATCTTCGATGTTAAGGGGAAGACGGGATAGAAAAATCTCCAGACAAATCTTACGTAATAAGTGCATGGTCCCTAGACAAATCGTGTCTTTAGCCAAATTGCTTGAAATCAAATTTTCTACAGCTTTGTTGCGGAATGCAATCTGCGATATCCTCAAATAAAAAAAGGTAGGTGAAATGGATGCAATGTCGGCCTAAATGGCCCTAATTTGGCCCATACATAAATTCAGCAATCGACTAAATTTTCAATAGCGACCAAAAATATCCATTAGCACCGTCCCAATGACGCGTTCTTCTAGATAAAATTGATAATTAGCAGATTTCTAGCAATGGGCCCAATCTTAGATCCATAGGCCAACATTAGAGCCGTACCCCCTATATTCCGTATTATAATTTAAATGTATCCACCTTCATCAAGTTTTATAATTAAGGTGATTCCTTGAAGCGTCCAACAATGGCCTTGATGATGGCACAATCACTTCATGTTTTCTAGATCACAAATCTCGGGCACTTTTGCAACATTGCTCATAAAATTGTAACTCCTTATGTGCTGAAGTGCAACAAACGCGAAGTTCCAGTTTCATTTGTGTATGCTATGTGAGAGTTGATATTTGTGGTCTTGAAATTCCGAGGTGATAATGAGATTAACCAGAAATAAGGTTTCCACAGCGATTCACCATAAAAAAGGGTCACTTAGGTTTGGAAAATACACCCATCACCAAAAATGAATGTATAATGGTGCAAATATTTACAAATTGTTACAGTTACCGTAAAATGAGAGGAAATTGAGTGGAAGTTTATCAAATCGCCATTCCAGTTCTTTTATCGAGGAACACTTTTTCATAACACTGTTATTTCTCGTTTCAATGCATAATTGTTGCACTACAAATACAGAGTAGCCAATTCCGCAACCTCCAATGTGGGGGCTTCGTTCAGCAAAATGATACAGTTAAATTTAGTTTTGGTCACTTGGAAATCTAAGTCAAATGTGGCTTAGCGTTCATGTTTTAAAGACAACTTTATGGAACAAAAACAAACACACCCAACCAGGCATGGAAAATCATTTGCATTCATTTCATACATTCAGTTACATTAATTTGCCTCTAACTTTTTTCATCAATAGCATTCCGCAAAATGAGGTTTAGAAATTTTGTAGGTTTTGTTATTAGCTACAACTTTTGTTCAAAACTCAAATCTGTATCTTTTATGCATCACGAACTAGAACGGGCAGAACTTGTTACTGTTTTTCAGTGAATGTAAAATACATTCACTGAAAAACAGTAGTGGCTTCTGTTCACTCTGGTTTGTCATGCATAAGAGATACAGATTTGAGTTTTGAACAAAAGTTGTAGCTAATAACAAAACCTATAAAAGCTCTTTAAATTATTTTGCGGAATGCTGTTGATGAAAAAAGTTAGAGGCAAATGAATGTAAATGAATGTATGAAATGAATGCAAATGATTTTCCATGCCTGCACCCAAACCTTTTTTACGCCGGGACATGTTTTTAATTTTCTTTTTCTGTAGTGAAATTAGAAAATGTATATAGTCACCAGTTGCATCAAGCATCGTTTTAGTTGAGCATCGTATAAAAGGAAAACAAGACTGCGTTTAAAAAGGGTTAGGTTTAATTGCATCTATTATCATTTGTTACGAATTTTTATATGTTAACCATGCCTGATTTCATTAGCCCTTTTCAAGTGTTAATCAATTTACTGAGCGAAAATCATTCACCATTTATCATTTCTTGCACATTTTGTGTGATACCACACGATTCCATTTCTATGCGATTTTGTTTGTTTTTACCCTGATTTAGGACGAGTATATAAATTATAATACCACTTTATTTTCTTTTAATTTTATCTAATTTTCTAAACAAGTTGCACTAAATTTGGTAATAATTCGAGATAACTCGATCAAAAGTACGGACGCAACAAAATCGCGTAAAAACAGAATTGAGCATACTTAGATATTTTGCTAACAATACTCACTTGTACGGGTATATGCTGAAAAAGTGGTTTTGGAGGAGCGTGTCGATGTTTCTGTGACGATCAAAAACGAAACACGTTGAAATTAGACTAAATAATATGAAAATATTCTCGGAACTCATGCAATCAATCTGTCACCAACATGCAATAAAGTACGATGCAGTCTATTCACAGTCCACCAATAATCTTTGAAGAATGAGTGCTAGGCAATTCTACTTTCACTATACCAACTCTAACCGATACACCTCAGTCTTGATAAAAATGTGAATTTGAAAGTTTTACTCACCCCGGGAATCCGAAAATCCTCGCATGTAAAATTAATCCGGTAACCAAATGGTGCCTTGATCTGGTACGAACAATCCGTGCCCGGATCATACCGCTGAGGATACGACGGCGAGGTCAAGTAGTAATCGGAGCCAAACTTCATATCCAACGAATAGAAACAGCTCGCGTTAGTCCACCGTGGAAGCCAACCGCCAACTGCCATTACAGCGAGAACCACTACTGTACTGGTTACCATTTTGACGATGCACTAATTACCGCCGATAAACTCCCACCTACTAAGGCATCCCATTGGATCCGGACAAGTTTAAATAGTAAAGCTCCGGCGTGAGGGTAACCTTCTAACGGGAACGATTTTTTTTTTTGTCAAATACACTTTCGGTATTGATAAAAATAAATTCAGGCAGGAACCATAAATTTGTTCCGTTCAAACTATTAAACTAGCTAATATACAACGGGTTACTTGCCGCACCGAAAATATAACTTTTCGCAACTAAACTAGTGAGGGTAATAAATCTAGTCTGTTACGCGATACCTACCCCGCACTCGCTTTGATTAGAATTTGATTGGCATGTCAAATGGGCGAGCGTTTCGAAAAATATTCCTCGTTCCGATGTGAAGCACTTTTGAAAAGCTCGCTGTTGGAAGCATTTTCGAACGAGAAATTCAAGGTTGGAAACCCATTTACCCAAGGTAAGGCACTTCCAAATTAGATTCCGCCCTGCGCATGCAGATACAGTCGTGCTCAGGACGATGAATTCTCATTTTTGCGTCCAATGAAGGTGGTGTTTGCTAACGTTCCCGATTGAGGAGGTTCCAATGAAAGATCCAGATGGTTCCGACTGATATTCCAGACGATTTTGACAGAATTCCCACACCATATCTACGAAGTTTGCTGACGTTCACGACGGAGGAGGATCCAGATGATTGCAATGCGAATGCTGCTAACAGTTCTAGACGATTTCGTCAAAGTTTGCTGACGTTCGCAACGAAGGTAGTTCCAGGAATAAACAACGGGTTGATTAAGTTTGTTTTCCATCCCCGATATGACGATTTTTCGAAATATGGGAGGCCACGATAAGCAAATTGTTTCATTAAATAGATGCAGATCAGAGTACAGCGGGAACAGTCCAATCAAGTCAACTGGCGACAGGGGTATGTCCAAAAAAGATTGGCTGCAAAACTGGAAGTCGAAAAAGCAAAACTCCTTTGACGAATTTTTTTTCCGTGTTGGGTATTTTGATCACTGCTACCAGTACTTAGATCTATTGTGATATAGTCCCCGTTTTCCCTAAGGTGTCGAAGTTTGCATGGTTCAAAGGGCTGGACTTGAGTCGAGACTTCATACACGTGATGTCTCGTCTCATGTCCAATCACTATTGTCTGAACGCTCACTTGTTCTGTGTGGGGTTGGGAGACAGCAATCTCTGTGAATGTGGACAAGGTTACCAGGACGCTGATCACATCCTTTGGTCTTGTGCGGAGTATCGTGGAGTCAGATCACATATTTATGATTCCCTTCGGGCTCGAGGTAGACAACCTAATGTTCCAGTTCGGGATATTTTGGCTAGACGCGATCTGGAGCTTATGAAACTCATATATGTTTACTTTAAGGATATTAACCTTAGATTGTAAGTTTGATTAACCTTGTGTGTAGTTTGTATTTTGTACGTGTGGGTTTTTTTTCTCAATGTTTGTTTTCAAGATCAATAGAAATAATTTCATGCTTTAGGATTAATTAAATAGTTGTATCGTAAACCACATTTCAAACCTCCTTCTTCCCTTTTCCTATCAAAAAAATTGTAAATCTCCACTAACCTCGAGACAACCGCGAGTACTCGGTCCAGTTCCTTTAACTTTAAATATAAGACAGTATTAATGTATAACGCAAAGGATAACTCGGCTCTGTAAAGTTTATTCCATTGAGCCTGTACATAATGATAAATAAGCATTTTCCCAGTCAGTTATTACATTTCGAATGAATTGCACTACTTGGCTGGGAACTGAATTCCAAATATCAAAGGGTTCTGTCAGCCCCTTATCCAGAAAACTACGCCTCTTATTGAAGATTGCTGTACAAGAGCATAGCAGGTGTTCAGAGTCTTCTTTTGCTATGCCACATAATCGACACATGTCATCTTGAAATTTTCCTATCAGCTTCAAGTGATATTCACATGGACAGTGCCCTGTTATTAAACCTGTGTACATACTGAGATCTTTCTTTGATGGTTCAAGAATTTTGCTAGTCATTGAAATGCTCGGATTAATAAACCGTTTCGACTGCCTAGCAATGAGAGTGTTGTTCAAATTGGTCTCCACTTTCATTTTTTCCAATTTCTTGAACTCCATTCTAAGAAAGCAAGCAGAAACTCCACAGAATGGTTCTGGTCCCATAAATTGTTGAGATGATCCAAGCCTAGCTAGTGTGTCGGCTTTCTCATTCCCTTGAATTCCATAGTGACCAGGAACCCAAAATAGGTTCACTTGGTTTTGGTAGGCCAATTTTTGGAGTGACATTGCACATTCTCCTGTTGCTGATTTCATAGCATTTAGTGCTGCTTGGCTATCAGACGTAATGCAGATATTTGAATGTCTATAATTTCTACGCAAGCAAATTTTAGAACATTCAAGAATTGCTTGGACTTCTGCTTCGAACACGGTAGGCCAGTAGCCCATAGATATTGAGATATTTATACCTGGACCTGTTACCCCTGCTCCTACACGATTATCCAATCTAGAACCGTCTTTTTAAAAGACAATTGATCCTGGACGGGTCCCCCATTGTCCCACAAATCGCGATCCGCATCTGCTACATTGTAAAGACGATCGAAGTGATATTTTTTCTTCATCAAATCTTCATTTTGTAACACAATAGAATCAATATTGAACATTTTAGGATGCTTATAAAGGGTGATACGGTCAAAATTTGGTCAAGGGAAAACGCGTGTAAATCGGTGAAATTGTTTATTTAAAAAATCAAATTAAATTTCTTTTTCAAGTTCAATTAGTGTAAAATTCAGGAAAAATATTCAGTTAGGCTTCCGCTTTTCCAAATCCGAATTGCCGGGCCTTACGCTTGACCCCTGCCATCAGATTTTGTACAGCCACCTTGTCCACCTTCTTCGCCGCAGAAAGCCAGTTTGCCTTGAACTGCTGCTCGCCCTTAGCAGTTTTTTTGGTCTTCTTTAGGTTCCGCTTGACAATAGCCCAGTATTTCTCAATTGGGCGGAGCTCTGGCGTGTTGGGAGGGTTCTTGTCCTTGGGAACCACCTGCACGTTGTTGGCGGCGTACCACTCCATGGCCTTTTTACCGTAATGGCAAGATGCCGAATCCGGCCAAAACAGTACGGAACAACCGTGTTTCTTCAGGAAAGGCAGCAGACGTTTATTCAAACACTCTTTCACGTAAATTTCTTGGTTGACAGTCCCGGAAGCTATGAAAATGCTGCTTTTCAAGCCACAGGTACAGATGGCTTGCCAAACCAGATATTTCTTTGCGAACTTTGACAGTTTCATGTGCTTGAAAACATCTGCTACCTTTCCCCTTCCTTTTGCCGTATAAAACTCCTGTCCCGGAAGCTGCTTGTAGTCGGCTTTGACGTAGGTTTCGTCGTCCATTACCACGCAGTCAAACTTCGTCAGCATCGTCGTGTACAGCCTCCGGGATCGCGCTTTGGCCGTCGTATTTTGTTTATCATCGCGATTTGGAGTCACTACCTTCTTGTAAGTCGATAGGCCGGCTCGTTTTTTGGCTCGATGCACGGTTGTAGACGATACACCCAGCTTATTTGCGGCATCTCGGAGAGAGAGGTTAGGGTTTCGCGTGAAACTACCGGCAACTCTCTTTGTCGTCTCAGAGGCTTCCGGTTTTCGATTTCCCCCCGATCCAGACTTCCTGGCTGTCGACAAACGTTCCCCAAACACTTTAATTACATTTGTAACGGTTGATTTGGCAACTTTTAGCGATTTTGCCAACTTTGCGTGCGAGTAGCTCGGATTTTCGCGATGCGCGAGCAAAATTTTGATACGCTGCTCTTCTTGCTTGGACGGCATTTTGACAACTGAAGAGTGAATTCCAAAATCAAAATAGAAGCAACATTCTACACACACACACCTTCAAAATGAGGGGTGTTCAGGTTTTTTAAATGCAAAATTGAAAGAAATACGTCAAGTTGATATTGACCAAATTTTGACCGTATCACCCTTTATGTCCTCTGTGACGGATAGATTACTCATTCATTATAATTGATTTTAGGATTCAATTAATACAGAGCGTCTGAAATTTCTGTCAAAATAGTCTGGTGCATCCTCCGTCGGAATCGTCTGTAACCTTCATTGGTAGCATCTGAAATATCCACCGAAATCGTCTGGAACCTCCTCCGTCGGGAACGTCATCAATTTCCGGTGAAATTGTCTGGACACTATGCCGAAATTACCGAGAATGTTCTCATTCGGAATCGCCTGGAAACTTCATTGGCAGTATCAGCAAACCAACCGGTGAAAACTAACGATTTTAAATTGGCTCACTACTTGACTAGCCTATTGGTCCCAAGTATATCTATAAGCGTACCTCATTCTAGTCTAAGTTTAGTACTACACTCTGTTTGTTTTGGTTCGCTATGAAAGTTTGACACATAAAATGAGGGGTTCGTGGATTTTCCTATGTTTCGAGGGATGCATCGATTAGCTTGGAACCGAAGATAGTACCAAAGCTGAGCCAAAAAGTTGAGCACGTTTCTAACTCTGTTTGTTTTTATTCGCTGTGAAAGCTTGACAGATAAAATGAAGGGTTCGTGGGGTTTCATAAGTTTCGAGAGGTGCATCGATTAGCTTGGGACCGAAGAGAGTACCAGAGCTGAGCCAAAAAGTTGAGTACGTTTCTTCAGGACCTTCTGATCGTAGAGTTACCTCTATGGTACCACATACGGGGAAATGGATGTAATGTCGGCCTAAATGCCCCTAATTTGGGTCCGTATCTTGTTGCATCGGAAATTTGCTATAGTTTTTCGTTACGTGGTAGTCTTTGTTGCATGCACGGCGAATGAGAACGACCCAAATTTGAGTTTAGTTCACTCATAATCGCCAAAAGTGCAGGAACTCAGCGATGAGTAAAATTTGTCTCATGGTTTCCTGTGGAAAACCTAAAAAATCTGCCGGAAAATGAGGAAATTGACGAAAATTTTATTCAGTCTCGGAGTAGTACCAATAGACTGAGTGAATCCAATCGTTACTTTTCTCAAACACGGAAATTTATCCCTGGAAAATCC